TTTCCTGTAATACTTCATTATAGTTTTTTAAGACAAAGCTAATTGAAAGGGGTGCTTAGCAGAGTTACAACCAGGGATTACAAATAATTACTTGTTTCTCTTCTGCAGTTTGGCGCCCCCCTCCAGCAGATGGCGCTCTAGGCGACCACCTAGTTCGCCTATGCCAAGAGCCGGCTCTGCACAACCGCCCACCAAAATTTTATCCTTTATAGGTTCTGCACAATGTATGGATTAAAACGATCAAAGATGATATTGACTAAATTAGCTCTGGAGCTAACACCATATACATTGCCTGGCCAACAAAAAAAAAAGTTGCAACAAGTTATAAACTCCAACTGATGCAATAAGTTGCTTCTCGTTTCTTAAACAACCATGTCTGTTTGAGAAGGGTGAAATCACTGGCTAACTGGAAGAAAAGGCTTCAATTTGCTAGGGAGCATGAAGATTGGACTCTGGAGCAATGGAATAAGGTCATGTGGTCTGAAGAATCCAGATTTACCCTGTTCCAGAGTGATGGGTGCATCAGGGTAGGAAGAGAGGCAGATGAAGCGATGCACCCATCAGTGCCTACTGTACAAGCCTGTGGGGGCAGTGCTATGATCTGGGTTTGCTGCAGATGGTCAGGTCAGGTATGTGCTCAAAGAATGATGTCAGCTGACTACCTAAATATACTGAATAACCAGGTGATTCCATCAGTGGATTGTTTCTTCCCTGATGGCATGGTCATATTCCAAGATGACAATGCCAGGATTCATGGTGCTGGAACTGTGACAGAGTGGTTCATGAGACATTTTCACACATGGACTGGCTCCACAGAGTCCATTGAGAATCTTAGGGATGTGCTGTAGAAGGCTTTGCGCTGCAGTCAGACTCTACCATCACCAACCTTGGTGAAAAATGAATGCAACACTGGATGGAAATAAACCTTGTGACATTGTAGAAGCTTATTGAAACAATGACGAAGCAATTTCTATAGCGCTAGTCAATTTATTTAGGTCCGCAGGTTCAAAASTGCGTATGCTCAAAAACACTTCGCGGAAACTAAATCATAAAGCGCAAATCTGTCTCCGTTCACCAGAAAACATTCCAGTGACACCATAAGACATGTCAGCAACACAAAACTGCCAACTAGTGAAATGATGTCCATTCACAAACTATCATTGAGGTGAGCCTTTCATGAAACATCTCTGTTGTTCTCTGTCCACATTTTCATTTGTAGGCTGAGTCATTTCTACATTCTCCTCTCTTTCAACAGGCTCTGGTTTTATTTAAAAGGGGTCAACGGGCAGTATGACASTATTTTGGTATACCACGATATTAAAATATGGTGACCATATGAGTCGCGTGAGGTGATGAGCCAAATTTCCTCAAGGCTGCTATGAAAACTGGGACATAAACATTTTAGGCTCYTTCAGAAGACACCCCATRACATGATGCATGTTCTGACCACCTTAGTCGATTCAAAAGGTAAACAGAGGCTGACTCACAGCTTTGGGACCACCCAGACTCAGGTTTCTTAAGTCAAACCACTATACCTGGACTCCTTTCAGATTTAAAATTTGTGGGTTTTTTTTTTTTTTTTGCTTTGTTTTTTCAAGATTTGCGAGCTCCTTGCTGCAGAGGAGAAAATAAACACAAACTTTATCGACAAACAGAATGGCTAAAAGTATGCAGCAGCGTAAAACTTAAAACCTTAAAAGACGTACTCGGGTGTATTTTCATTTGTGCAACATAATAAGGAGCAAGAGCCATTCTGCAACTCCAGCAGAATGGAGTGAAAGCAACAGCTCAGAGTTGTTTTTCCCACGCCTCTCTCTGGCTCAAGAATATCAAGCTCTATGTGTAAATACTCACAGGCTGCGATTTCTCTGTTACTTATTAATTACTCATTGTACCACAGATCACACTCCTCCCCTCCCTGGTAACACCATATACTRTAGGTATATAGGTGTGTTTTATGTGCAGATGACACTACCTTCTTTTGTTCAGGTAAGGATCTAAATGACATGTTTACAACGATGCAATCTGATTTTGTACAAATCCAAGAATGGTATATGTTAAATAAATTATCACTTAATTTAGACAAAACCCACTATATTATATTTACTAAAAGAAAATTAAAAGTTTTTGTTTCATTTAAAATAGGTGGCGTTAGAATTTCTAGGGTTAGTGAAGTGAGGTTTTCGGGGGTTATTATTGATGAAAATCTGACATGGAGACCCCATATTAACTATTTAAGAACTAAAATTGCAAAATCAATTTCAATATTGTACAAAGCCAAAGACAAATTTAACAATAATGCATTACTTATATTATATAATGCTATAATTGTGTCACATTTGACCTATTATGTTGAGGTCTGGGGGAGTGCCTGTAAAATATTTACAAATCCACTTTTCATTTTGCAAAAACGTGCAGTGAGAATGGTAACAAGAAAACACTACTATCACCCTACAAATATTCTGTTTAAGCAATTGAAACTGTTGAAATTTGGGGAATTGGTTGATTATAGGATTCTGTTGATTATGTATAAGGCTCATAAAAATGTTGTGCCACCTAATATTCAATCAAATTTTTTAAGAGGGATAGTGTTTATAATTTGAAGGGACTTGAAATGTTCGTAAAGCCAAAAATTAGAACAAATTTGAAGGAGAGATGCACCTCTGTTCGAGGAATTAAACTGGAACAACTTGGACAATGACCTTAAAAATGCTGGAACAATTTATTCATTTGGTGGAATGCTTAAAAGTTTGTTTTAATGAGATATGAACAATGTATTGGTTTGTAATTGAGATTTCTGTTATTATTTATTTACCGTTATTTTACCAGGCAAGTCCCATTGAGATCTCAGATCTCGTTTTCAAGGGAGGCCTGGGCCTGAAGGCAAACTATTGTACATGTTTTGGGGGGCGAGGGRAACCGGAGTACCTGGAGAAAACCCACGCAAGCACAAGGAGAACCTGCAAACTCCGCACAGAAAGACCCTGGGTCCGAACCGGAGATCAAACCCAGGACCTTCTTGCTGTGAGGCGTCGGTGCTAACCTGAGCCGTCGTGCTGCCTGTTGTGATGTTGTTTTGTTAATTATTTTAAGCTATACTGTGAAAGTTGAGTTTAATTTCTGTATGTTGTACGTTTTGTAGATATATTTTTTTAAATGGGGGCAAGATGTTACAAGATTTTTTTCTTCTTTCTGCTCCTTTTCATTTCACCATGCTGTGTTGTGCCTTTTTTTTTGACGCAACGTTATTATTATTTATATTGTTTTAATTGATGTTCGAATGAAATAAAGTTTAAAAATAAAATAAAATAAAAGAGCAATAACGCCCAACCCAGTGTTGAAGCTGGATAGAGCTCACACCAGAGGACCTCATGAGCCTCATCATTTACCCAGAATGCTTTGCTGTAAATAACATGGTGACATCCGTGTGACATTTTTTTTCTAATTTATAAAAAYTAAACAGCGTACAGTTTACAGTCTTGTTTTTATAGTTGAAGTAAACGTTTACCTAATAATTTCTAATGTTGCAACAAGTCAGAGTTCCCTTTAAAGTCAAGTATTGTTAGATATATACTGTATCATTGGCTGGACATACTTCATGTACAATACTTCGTAAGTTTCATTACAGTCCATCCAATGGCTCATGACAAACAGGATAGCATTAAAGGCTGAAGTTTTAAGTAACTACCTTGCACAATGTTTAGTGCTCGAAATGCGTGTTGGTWCTGTCAACAAATAACTCGAATTTTGGCTCAATATATGTACAATTAACTCAGTTGAACCCTTTTAATTTTTGAACAACTGAGATTGTCCCCCCTTTAATAATTTGAGGAAACTATACTTTAAACTAGAAGCACTCGGAGAGTGCAAACCTCCGCCAAGACCATTTCCCCCCATCCTGTAAGAGTTAATGCGCAAAAGCAGAAATGGAAACACATTTGCCGAATAAGTTCTGACGTAGTGAACATTTAAGCAGGCAGTATGCACGGGATTTCTTCTCGGTGGAGTCCAATGTGAAAACAAAAGTCAGACTCGTCACCCAACGTTATTCATTGTCAAACTGGTGTCAGATTAAGCTTCTAAGTTTTCATCAGTCACATTTCACCATGTAAAACATCTGTTTTATCCCCTTGTATGAGTTTGTAATGGTTTGACTCTCTTTATAAAGTGCTTCCTGGCACCCTCGTCTCCTAACTTTGAGGCCCGGCAGCTCTCTGTTTACGAGCCTAGTAGAGACAAACTGTTTTGATTGGTTGTTTGGAAATATGGTGTGTTAGAGGAAATGGGAAAAATAGGTTTCATGGTGCAGTCACGCACTTCCTGGTCACAAAACATTCTGTGAATGCGTATATCATGGCAAAAATTATTCATCATTAAATCTGGTTTTAACATTACTTTTATAAAGTTTGAAGTCTGCGCTGTCCAATCCAGCTCACTGTTTTTTACAGAAGCCCTGTGAAAGCATCACAGCTTTGCCGATCTCAGAGTGTTAAAAGAAAAAAAATTCCTGTATCCGCGTTGTGATCTGGAACATCACCAAAATTTAAAGGTGTGTTCCTTGGCCCAGTACCCACATGTGGTAAAAATGTCATAATCTGTCCACAAGTTTTTGAGTAATGTTGTCCACAGACAGAATGACAGACAGACAGACAGACAGACAGACAGACAGACAGAACGACAGACATACGCGACCGAAAACATAACCTCACCCTTGGTGGAGGTAATTACTATAACAAACAGAAAGCCTATCTACTATTTGTATGGGCACAACTACACATTTATGCATTTCAACATTATGTCTCCCCATCAGCTTGACAGTGGTTTAGTCC